GAAATACCCAAATAAAATTGCTGGAATGAAGCAGAATGCAATATATACATAGCAGATTTGTATTTTATTTGTGGTAAATCAGAATGTGGAATGCATACTTAATGCTTGATTTGACGCTTGTTCTCCTCCTCCAGGTGCCGTTGGGGCGGCAGCCTGGCAATAGATGAAAAAAGCAATATGTACTATTAACCTTGCCATATTTAAAATCGTTTGTATAATAATTTCGATGTTCTCTAAAGACAAATTTTACTTTGTTGAAAAATAGCAGCCATTTTAAAAAGAATCTTAATTAAACGCTTAATGACATTTTCTAAAGGATTGGAAATGAAAAATGTGCAGGAAGTGGAAATTTAGAAAATTCCGCATTTTATTAACAGACCCTTATTTCTTTTTACGGTTAATAAATTTTCAAGCTCTAATCAATTTTCAGAAATCGTTTCAATCAAAACCTGCCACACTTATCTTCTGGAAATACCGCAGATCTATTTTATGACATTCAGAAAAATAACAACTGCAAAAGACTTCGAAAAATTAACATTTAAATCATCTTTTATTATTGAATTCGACCTCTCACTTCACATGACACAATAATGATCAGGTAAATGTCGTCTGGCAAGTTACCAGAACAAGTACTCGGCATGTTAATCTTGCAATTCATTGTAAAACAGTAAATTTATTCTTGAACAGTATATCATTTAGATGAACATGTTCTGAAGCAATGTCGAGAATGATCGACATTAGCGCACAAAATCTTCACTGGTAAACACAATATCTAAGAACATTTTTTAAACACTGAAAGAGCAATGCGGAATCATTAATGGCTGAAAATCTAATAGCAGCGCTTTTTATACTTCCGCAGCGGAATATTGGACTATATCTTGCCCGATATTAGCGGATCAATGCTCTATTTTTCGCATTTTTCGAGTGCAACGGAAGAACTGATTGGGGCAGTAGACAGTGATAACGGGGATTTGAATATCCAGTTTTACTTTCAAACGATAACAATGTATTGTCAATCTATTGTATAGTTTAACTGCGGTCACTACATCTGTTATTTTTAAATGTTCGAAACCAAATTTTGTTTTTCTCTGAAATTTTTGTGTTTCAAAATTTGAATATCATAAAAGTTTCTATAATAATATTGATAAATGTATCTTTTGAATTTCTAGATGGCGCAAATGTCCGTCTTCATTAGTTAATAGTACGCAAACGTGCATTTGTTGATTTAATAGAAGTTACAATTTGCGAATGTATATTTCCTTCAAACAGCGCATGTATATTTGCGGTTGTTTATTGATGCGCAGATGGGCGTTTATTGCTTTCGAACCTATGCTAATGTGTGTTAGTGACAGGCTGGAAATGTTTAAATGCTGCAAACAACTATTGTGCACCAAAGGTTATTGCGCACCCGTTTAGTTCTAATTGTTGCATGACGAGCTTTATTGCTTGTACTCCAATAGGTATCGCAAGCATTTCCAACCAAGGTATGCTCATTCCTTTAATTGGATCAGTCTAGGTTTCGCGAAAAGCACTGCTGCTTAGAACATACATCGCTGTTGCATATGCCACTTTTGAAGCGTCCGTGAAGACATGAATTTGTATTCGTTCCGTAGAGTTATTGCCACCCTCGGTATTTCGATTTCATGAATTGCGCAATTTGTTTCCCTGTTAATGGAACCAGATGATCAAGTATATTCATTTACACATCTAATTTGCATAAATCGATTGATCATGTCAATCTAAATTACTTGCATCAATTAGCCGACCATTTCAAGAAAAAAAAAGAAAAGCATGAAATAAATGTAGTTTAATTGAAAATATCATTCATTAAGAAGTACAGGTGCATATACATATACCTGTACATGTACAGGTACAAGTAACAATAATCAGTTGC